AAAAAAGAGGGGACAAGGGGGAAGGGGGGGGGTGGGGGGGGGGGGGGCTCAACGGGAAGGGAAACACTCTGATGTTTGGGACCGTATGTAGAACGGCATGGTATCAACTCATTGGTATGCACCCGTCGAATGGGAGCCGACCCCCCAAGATTTGCGAGTTGGAAGGCACATATAGATGCGCAACGACGTCAACGCAAAAGAGACATGTTTGCCTACCATGAGCCACGACGGCGTCAATTGTGATTCCGTGTGCATGAACTCCAACAACAAGAACAAAAAAAACACACACGATACTTTACCCCCCCAACACAGAACGACCTCAACATAGCATCTACAGTAGTACAACAAAATGGCAGTAGTAATTGCTGACGCCCTGCAGCATACCAGACGACGAGACAAACAGCCAGCCAACCAGGGACCTCACCTTGGCAAGCTTGGAGGCGGCCACGTGGATGGGATGCTTGGGCGGGTTGTACTTGCGAGCGTTGTCGAAGATCAGCCGGACGTCCGACACGAACGCGCCGGCATCGTGATACTTCATCGCGTCCAGCGTCTCCGCCACCGTCCTGGCAGCAACAGGCAGGAAAAAAGGAAGGTCAAAACAAGAAAAACATGGTCACACGTCCACAACTACTTTGTAGCCCTAGACTCGTTTTGCGGGGGATAGAGATGATCTTGGTTTGTCTTCACTAGCGAGGAAAAAAATAAGTAGTCAAGGGCAACCGGAGCCTACCACCACAGTTAAATGAGTCGGCTGCAAAAGCACGACCGCTATAAATGTAGCTCGGTTCGAACCAACCGCACGTGTGCCATGCATGGCGACCGAAACACTCGCACGAACCGTCCCACGTCCCAAATAGCAACACCCGCACCACCGTCCGCCCCACGTACATACATAGCATACACAGCAGACGGGTTTGCTTACCCTAGGTCCATGGGCTGCTCTATCACCATGAGGTAGTCCGGGCACCGGTCTCTCGTCGGGTCCACGGGTGCCGTGAACGGGGCTCCGTGCTGGTGCCGAATCAGCTCCTCCAGCGCTTGCCTGAAGAATGCCACACCACCGATGCGGGGGAGAAACCCAACGCACAACAAGCAGGGTTAAAAAGACAAGACAGTTTGAGAGAGGCATGATGCAGAGCCAAGGAAGTGCAATGTTTGCGGTCTAGCGATGGTCGCCGATACAAGAGATCAACTATGATGGAGAGCAACGAGGTGGAATGTTTATGGTCCATACATGGTGGGCAATGAGGGAAGCCAAGATATCGTGGAGGGCAAGGAGGTGGGACGGTTGAGGTCCATAGATGGTTACCCAGGAGTCGGAGGTAGTGCTGTATACGTCAGCACAAAGCCATAGCCATAAGCACGACATATAAGCACGACAACAGGACCAAGGGTTCAACAGCCATGGGGACAACACAAACAGAACACCATGACCCGTAAATCAATAACCACGGAAGAGCCCAGTACGATCGACAAGAAATACGAGATGGACAAAGAGAGAGGAGGTGGAAGGCTTGCACTTTCAACCACGAGCACGCACCAAGGACGTCCGTTTCAGCCTTCCCTTGTTTAAGGTAAGGCTCTAGACGCCCCAACTCAACTCACAGGGGACAAGCTTCCTTCGCTCCCCCCCTTACCCGCTCACGAGAGACACCCCCGACTTTTCTCAGGCAACCCACCCGGAAGTCAGCTTCAAATCGAGCCGATCTCTGTCGGTAATCACTCGTTTCTGCTGTTTCTGCGAAACAGGCAGCTACACCATGCAAAAAAAAAAAAAACGCCGAAAATTTGCTCGCAGAAAACCAATTACTATAGTATATTTTCCACATGCACACACCTGCAGAGTTCTAGCGGGGACTGTGTCTCGTCCTGACCATCATCCCTCCGTTCCACCGCTCGCGCCAGACGCACCGCCTCCTCCGCCCAGAAGTCGCCCTCGAAAATCACTGGGATCTGGTTTTGGTCGTGATATTTTGTTCGGGTAGAAGGGGCAAAATTAAAAAAGAACCACAGGCCAAACATCAAGAAATAGAAAAACCTTGACGAGAGACTTTACGCGCTCTCCATCAACACACGCGTTCCCCCTAGAGACAACGTATCGTGACACAAAAAAAAATAACACCAACACCGACACCAACCAACACCATCGTTTCGTCATGATGGCTATACACTTCTCGGCATGGCCGATCCTGATAGGTTTCAAGTAGACCGGGAAGCCGTGTCTACTACTACAT